CAGATCCAAGATAAATAAAATACGATTTCAGGGGTATCCAGTTTAAAAGTCTTTCGACCGCTTTATAGAAACTTCACAAACGTGTTGGAACATGAAAAAGACAAAACGCGATTCTCCTTTCCTTATTCTCTTAAACTGTACAGCTTTTGATTACGTACCATTACATCATAAAGCTTTTGAAAATATATTCCACTATTTTGTGAAAAAAAGTGAACATAATTAGAAAAAAGCGGACTGTCCGTTCGGATGACAAAAACTGCTGCCCCCGAGCGAAAACGTCATCTACGATGATCAACGGCAATTGAAACAACTCTCTTTGTTTTCTTCCCTTTGCAACAATGGCTTGAGCAAGCGTAGTTCTATATTCAGGAATTCAGAAACAACCTCAGAGTACATAGAAAGCGCCTTGTCGTAGCGCCCAGTTCCTGCTTCCTGCTGCGCTCTAGCAGACATGCGACGAAATATTTATTGGCTTGAATCGGTTCGAATAGCAAAGCTGTTTACGTGTTTTTAATTTTCTTGTGTTGTTAATTTATCGCGATTTTGGGCTAAAAATTAACTATCTCGGAGCAGGGGAAGTCAAAAATCCACGAGCTCTGATTTGATTAGCCCCGAGTAGAGATTATAAATGGATCAGAGACTTCGTGCCAAATTTAAGGAATGCGAAAGCGAATATATTATTAACAGATAGAATTTCGGAGTAAAATACGTAAATGAATTGTGTAAATTAACCGTAGGATACATGGATGCGAAATTACATGAATACAAGACCTCTCAGGCCCTGTGCAATATGCTCTCGAAAAACGCACATAAAATTTTATCTGATTCTTAAAAACTTGAAACTGTGTTCGATCCCCAGTCTGAGTAGACATTTTTATCCCTTCTACATAATCATAAAATTCATTAAATTACATTCTTCATTTGTCATGACAATGTTATGTATAAAGCAGCACAAATTCGATTTCGCGAACAAGGCATACACTTGAATTGTGAAGAAATTACATAATTGACGATTATGTAATTTCGATTTGGTAAAACGATTTTTACCAAAAATTAATGCAAAATACAATTGCTTCTAGTTATACATCAGACCACCATATTAGCGATGTCTTTCTGATTGCTACAATATTATAGTTTAGAAGAGTTTCATAAACTCATCTCTTTTGTTGAGAGGGATTAACGATTTTCTCTATTAAATCACTGTCCTTGTGCTTTCGTACTTTTGACTCCAGGTGAAAACTGTATATACAGTAGATCCAGGTGCAAACAGAAATACAGTAGATCTTCCCTCATTTGCTACACTGGCCAAATCCGTATGACTCATTGCCGTCACACTGCCGGTCAGTTTCAAAAATTGCTAATACATTTTGTACACCTCAATTCATATTGCGTGTATTACATTGAACAATGATCATTCTCAACATTTAATAAGAAAGTCTAAGAATACTGTGTAACTCTCAAAGTTAAGCAACTTAACGAAAACAAATATACAAATATCCTTACTAAATTATTATGCAGAAGCATTTTGCTCTGTTGTATACATTGTTTTAAATTTCTAAATTTAACTATCATATATATGTAAGTGTCATTAGGAAAAATCAAGGTACAATTACATTTTAAAGTGAAATTCAACTCTTCTTGATTTTCGGGTATATATACTCGTAGGAACATCGTCAAAAAACGGTAACCTTATCATATGTCCAAAAGCTGATAGTGCAAGGTCAAACTAGAAAATCTTTCATCACTTTGTGAATTCCGCATATTGTTTTGTACTCTCTGATGGGCATAAATGACCTTTCATGACTTGTAGCAGGTATAGTGAGAATCATGTCGGTCAGCATATAGGTTTGGGGAAAGACATGTTTGAGGATAGGAGTGGTGACAGCCAATGCGAATACGCGATTCGAACCGTAGCGCGAAAATTGAAAGAGCAATTGCGATAAAGGACTATTACACACAATTCAAGTATCATTGCGTTTTATTTTGGAAATGTCTGTTGTCGATGTGTGACAATGTGAACTTATAACGAATCATACATATTTGATTTGGGTACGAGTAGTAGAATTGTTAAAATTTTGTTGGTTCGTAATTGGTCACGAACGTGATGTCAAAAGTTAGGGGGAAAATTTCGAGGCCAAGATTTGAGGGAAGTTGAGGATGATTCACGTATTAGTAATGACCTATCTTTGTACCCAAACCGCCATAAAAATCGCCTATCGGCAAGTTTCATTAATTTCTATCAGAGTACTTAACGTAATTTGACGAAGGGCTCAAGGAAACTCCCCGCTGCTGTACTCTACTTTAACCAATAACATAATGAATTTAAATTGTATAGCATTAAAATTTAATTTCTTGTTTCCTGAATTATCGTTAACATGAAATCTTTAAGAAATTATTTAATTTTCTTAAAATACCAAAAATGTTTACAAAGAAACTAAAACATTAAACTTAATCATTTTTTTCTTTGCTCTTCAGTTTTGTACCCTCCCATGGACACAAATTACATTTCTTACCTAAAATTGAAAATAGCCTATTGGGGATACTTGGGAACTGCATTGTCCATAAATTTCAATAAAACAAAATGATGGTTCATGATATTTAATAACATCACACATTCAAAAATGTAACAAGCTCATTCAATTTCTGTCTTATGGGGCTTTTCTTTCCATGTTCATTTATTGTGACATTTCTTGACACTGCTCTTAATTGTAGGGTGGTGAACACTCTTACAATTTCTTTCAGGAATTTTGTTTTGCTTGAATCTACACAATCATTTTCAGAATTAATTGACTGACCACGAAAATAATTATGGAAGTTTAAAATAATAAATATGAACTCAGAATTTATGAAATATCCATACATTGTTAGAGCCTGGCTTCCTTAGTTGTTCTTCTCTTTCCATAGATACTATGCCTCCCAAGTTGTCTTAAACTAAGAATCTTTTTTCGCTGGCATCCCAGATCAACTGCTTTCTTATCAACATACCATCGGATATAACATCACATTCCTTCAAATCCATAAACTTGGTCTATTTGTATTAGGTAATGAAAATAATGATGTCAAATGGACATACTTATACTCTTTAGGAGAATAAAAGTGCAAAGTAAGAGAAAACTGTTTCATAAAATCACTGTACCGTCTTCCCTTTTTATCACACATAATCTCGATACTGACTCTTGATAAACTCAAACCAAAAAACCCAAAAATTATATTCAAGAGCTTCTTCCAAGTCATAATTTGAATCTTTCTTTCTCAATACTTTTATTAATTCTGTTCTTTTATGCTACTTATCTTCTTATTCTTATGATTCAGTTTCATTTTCAAAGTTTAATTTTCTTCCTCGGGATGCTTTTGGTTAGTGACTGTGGAACAGGATCTATCTCTCCTAACATTTTGTTTACAGGGAGATTTGCACCGAGAATCAACTTCCATGTCAGAATCGTTTTCTTTGTCCTGTAATACATACAAACTCATCTTAATGTAGACAAACAAATCAATAATTGGTACCATCAATGTTGAAGCGAAATTCTAACTTACATACATTTTTCATTGGAATAAGGATAATGACATGGAGGGGAAAAAACAAATAATTTTTTTTTTTTAAAAAACATAAAACTTGTTCACAAATGATTTACAATGACATTAGACGGATCCAAACGCATGAAAGGTTGCCTCACAGATTATTTTCCAGAAATGAATAGGGAAATCAAACACAGAAGATATTGAATTTTCTTTCAGTAACTTTACTTTTACTCTTGGTCTAACCTACGAATGTAAGAAATTATAAGCATGCATTGAGCTGTGGTAAATTGACTTCACATACACTGTTAGAAACAATGATCACCGACATATAAATACTGTAATTAATATTAACCTGTTAGTTAATCGCAAAAAATGTTGGAAACAGAATATGTTAAATTTCTCTTCAGAAAGCATGAATACATTTCTTCAAAATTTCTGGTCGATAAAAGGAGAATCTGCGAAAAGCAGAAATACAGTACACATTTATGTAGCATTAGTAGTTAAAAGAGATGTGATAAAGCATCGCACCATGACGTAACTTCAAATACATTTGGAAAGCGAAATCTTGAGAAACTGAATTCCACTTCCTGTCTTCTAGAGTTGTATGCAACCGTACGCAACACAATACTTCGCCATTGTGTTTCTTGTTAAAAGCCAAATTAACCGAAATAAAGCCACAACCTTTCCACGCCGTACGCAGCACGTACAAGTTGACACTTTGAAATACGCTCCAGAATTGCCAACTCACAAGAATCAGGCGTGACGCTCCGGAAGGATTTCCTGCATTGCAGTTGTGGATACATTTTATATAGTTGAGATCACTGGTCGTATATGACTGATCCGTCCGTCATGGCAACACTGATATGTACTCCGGTTCAAATGTATTGGCACTTGAATATCACGGGCTAGAAGGGGGGGGGACATTGTCATCCTATCGGGAGCTCCAGTACCAAACATTAAAGTCGCAACGAAACTCTCGATTGGATGAAAATATCCACATCTCATTAAGTAATGACCTTAAAGTGCCACTTATTTATATTGGAATTATGATGTTTACATTCAATACATTGGATCATCATGAGCGACACACATGTGGTTAACACCAGGTTGACACTGACAGGCCGCTGATGTGATGTCATGAGAGTGGTTGGCCGTGGAAGGGTTGATCTGGGGTTGATAGTGCAAGGATCATGACAAGGTTAAAATCTTGTTGTGAAATGTAATTAGATCGTAAGCATCCAGTGAATAATTGCCCGCCGTGAATTTTCCTGTTCGTTTATGTGGTGAAGTGTATGTTAACAATTATAAAGTAACAGTAAGATTTGTTCTCTTTACCCACGTGATATTTAATTTTCGTTCTGTGATTCATGAGCTGTGGTCTCACGGAACTGTTCAGCGCTGTTCAGGGAACTGTTTTTGTTATCCAACGTTGAATAATATCGTTAAGACTTCGGCATTGCTGTATTCACGAATGAACAATGGTGTATGCATTTCTCATTCAAACACTATCTCCTAAGGATTGTGATATATTGTTCTATCGATTTTACAGTTGTTACTATGTTCAGGGTAATATGTCAGCTACTAAATCAAATGGAGATTTAGAGAAAGAAATAAACACAGCCTTGCGAACTAATTGTGATCCTGATTCTCTCAAGAGCACAAATCGTGCCACAAAACTTTTTGAAACATCTGTGGAGAGAAGTGATTTTCTGCAGTTAATAACAAATAAAGTTTGTATGCAATATTCAATGAAGCTAAAACATTCACTGTTACCCCTTAATAATCAAGATTCTTCTGTTCGGGGTATGTTTATTGAAAGGAAATGGAAGCGAGAATCATCAGTATCTGCTTCTATTGTGTGGCAAAGTGTGGGAAATATGGCATTTGTTTTAGTCTGTAAGAGGTGCGAGAACTTACTTCAAGCTCAAAATGTATTAGACATAATAACCACTCAGCTAGAGACACATCTGCAGTTTATATCAAATCCTGTAGTTCCATTAACAAATATAGAAACAGTTTCATTAATAGTTAATCAGTACCTTCCTTCAGGCGAAATTATGTTTATGAATAGTAAGCTGGTAAGAGCTTTTGAAAAACAACTTGAAATAGATTTGTATACCCATTAATAATTTTAAAAACTATTATTTTGTTTTAATTAATTGTTTTTTATTAAAATTATTCATTTTTTAAAATCTGTAGAGACCATTAGATTTAGGGAGAATTCGTAATGGTATCAATGTTCAGATGATTTGTTTACCAATTTGTTATAATAATTAATATAGGAAATATCAGGTTTTTAAGCACTTAATTTTTAGAAATACCTGAATTGTACATTGTATGATTATGTACATATCCTGACTTGTCATACATGACTTATGCTGTATTGATGTGAAAAATTTATTATTATTAATTATTATTATTATTATTATTATTATAACTGTTAATGACAAAATAAAAATTCCATGTTTTCTTCTAATCAGTGTTATAAAATGTATCTGTACATCTATTGTTAGATTTTTGAAGTAAAAGGAATTTATTTGTTTATCAAATTGTGTATATACATGTACCTCAAAACATTTAACATAGAGGTGAACCTGTGATTATACGTGCATTTGTTTTTGTTTCAACAGTGTCTATTCACATAATTTTTTATTTAATTATAGGCCTTTTTTGAGTAAGGGAGAGAAAAGGTTTAGAAAAAGAAAATTAAACTATTGCTGGAAGAAAAATTAGATTGTCATTCCGTAGTTGAATAATCTAGTTTCACATTACTCATATTGATAAATGCAGTTTTGATCATAACATTTGATGCATTACAAATTTTGAAAGTAACTTATGATGATTACATCGACTAATTTATTTTCTAATTTGCATCAGAACTAGTGTTAAGTTTCCATTTTGAATGTTAAGATATTTGTCTTACAGGTTTTCAAAGTTGGCTAGCAATGCCCTGTCGGTAAAAAACATGTTTTACGCTAAAAAAAGTCTGAATGTAATTATTTTCCTTAAAAAGCTTATCAGTCAAATTACATACTTTTCCTGTGCATAATTTAGAAGTTAGCTTGAATTTTGAGTAGAGGATTCAGTGTTATACCATATGCTCCACCCCAAATAACAATACCATAAGTTGCCCTTGAACTAAACATTGCCTAATATATCAGGCAAATTACAGATAGCTCATTATTGGAAACTGCTTAATATTTCAGTTTGTCTCTTCTCTCTTTATAACTTTTAATCAATTTGTACACCAGGCCTCTAAAAGCAAGTCTGTGGAGTTTACCTAATAACAATTTATGATTAACTGTGTGAGATGTCTTTTCCTTGTCAAAAAATAGTTAGCCTAGAGGCATTATTATCGATTGCACTGCAAATAACATCAGTTGCATATTTAACA